GGATATGAAGACTATACTTCTATTAATCTTTCCAACTCCTTAGGTACCTTTCATCGCAATGACCAAATTACTCGCGTTGATTATGTATGGTCTTGCCCTCTCCTCAAAGGATATGCCCTTACTGCTTGCATTTTTAATGCTCAAGACATTTGCACATCTGATCATAACCCTGTCATCACATACTATGATATGTCTTTACTTTTTACCTCTACCAAATTGGCTCGCACTCGACAACTTAAGCGTCAAACCCGTCGCGTCTTCAAATTTGATTCTGTAACTGATATTCAATGGACGGAATTCGCTGCCCAAACTGATGCTTTATGTGATGTTTCACCTTCAACCTTTTCCTCCTGGCATATCAACCAAATGTGCGAATATCTTCAATCACGAATCCTCAAAGCTGGCAATGTTACTTTACCTTCTTATATAGTTGGTAACAATTATACTCCTAAGGTCCCTAAAGATCTGGAAATTTTAACTCAACATTATCGGTTTTTAAATCGCCTGATGCATTTGATACGTATATTGCGCAAACATCCTTCCACTTTTTCTGCTGCCCATGAACATAAGTGGTCTACTCATTTAATTAGACTTCAAAACATTTTACAATTATATAAAAATGTATTTACTTTCATTCCTATTTTGCCCTCTTCTCTTTCATCATGTCGACATGATAACTTCAAGTCACTTCTTGATGATTTATCCACTATTTCAAAATCCTTACGTGGATTTCAGTTGCTTCAAGAAAAAGAATTTCAAGATTCCTCCATTCGTGCCCATTTGGATGATAGAAATAATAATTTTGAAACTGACCTTTCCTCCTTTATTGATTCAGCGCTTTCTCGCACCCATCGCCGTATCACTCTGGACCGTGTCTTTATCGACCATCCCACTCACCCTCAGTTGTTAACTGATTCTAAGGACATAGATGATGCGGTTATTAACCTTTTCCAAAATTTTGTACCTATAAAGTCCACTCCGCCGGTGTCTCTTGATACACTACCGGCTAAATGGTCTACTGCCTACCAACCTATGGATGATGTGTCCTCCTCCATCTATGATTCTTTAATGAATCCCCCTACCCTTGATGAATGGTTATCCACCGTTTCTTCCACTCCTAACGGTAAAGCCTCTGGTCCTTCCATGATTACCTATGAAATGCTTAAACATCTTGGTACCCGTACCTCGGCTTTGCTACTTATTTTAATTCAAGCATGCCTTTCCAAAGCTGATATCCCTGATTTATGGCGACAAGCAATGGTTTTTCCCATCCCCAAACCTCACGAATGGAAATGTCAATTAAAAAATACTCGTCCTATTACTTTACTCGAAGTGATTAGAAAATCCCTTGTCAAACTTTTTTATAATCGCCTTTCTACTATTATGGCTTCACATGATGTTCTTAAAGGTGGTAACTTCGCTGGTCTTCTCGGTGGTTCTTGCCGCGACCCTATCATTACTCTAGAATCTATTATCCATGATGCTGATATCAACAAAATCCGCTTTGGATTCTTTCCCAAGATATTTCTAAGGCTTTTGACTTGGTCGATCTGACTATGTTACGTTTTGCTCTAGAACGTATCCGTCTCTCAGCTTCCGCTGTTAAGTTTATCCTTTCACTTTTCACGAAACGCACTAATCGCGTTTTCACTGCTCATGGATCTACGCCTGCTTATAGGGTTCGCATTGGTATTGACCAAGGCGAAGTTATCTCTCCTCTTTTATGGGTTATTTATATTGATCCCTTACTTACTGTTTTGAAAAATGAAATGATGGACCCTTATGTTCTTTCTACACCGTCCTTAATTAATTCTTCGACTTCTTCTTCTGATTTGAAGATTAATAATTTAGTCTTTATGGATGACTCTACTCTTATTTCCTCGTCAAAAGCTGGCATGGAATTTATGTTATCTATTACTGAAGAATTTTATCAGATCAACAACACTTCTGCCAATCATAACAAATATGTGTTAATTACTAATTCGTTGCCTTTGACTTCGAATTCCACTTTATCCCCTATTACTTTTAATTTGGATTTATCCTCTTTAAATAGTGTTCCTTCTATTATTATTACCCCAATTTCCATGACAACTTCTTTTCGTTTTTTAGGTGTCTGGTTTAACATTAAGAGTTCCCGTGATTTTGTCAGAAAGCAACTTAAACGCGAATGCTGCTCCTTTGCTGCGACCATCCGACCGGCAAAGCTCTCTCCCAAACAAGTTGTGTATTTACATAATGCTGTTCTTATACCGAAACTCGAATACCGGATGCAAGTTACTCACTTGTCTGAATCTGACTGCCACCTAATAACGAGAAGTATACGATCTGTTGTGAAGCATAAAGCAAATTTTTCTCGTTCTTTACCCAATCCCATTTTATTTTTGTCTCAAGCCTTGGGCTTAATTAATTTGTTTGCTCATCAATGGCAATGTCATATTACCAATTTATTTTTAATGGCTAATTCTTCTTCCTCTTTTATTCAATCTCTTTTTATTTATAGATTGCGTTTAATTCAATATAATTTTTTGATTCCTATTTCTCCTCTTTTAATTAAGGATTGGTCTATATGGTCTCTTTATTTTCTTTTAAGAAAGATTATATCGCTTGCACTATTGCTCTCTTAACTTCTACTCCTTTTCGTTTGCTTCATACTCAACTTTCGAAGCTTCCGAACCTATCCTTGTTAGATGAAAGTGTTCCTTTATTTGAATGCATGACACCTAAAGCCTTTAGGGCCATGACATTTATTACGTAATATCACTTTACTATAAAGCCCGATCCCCACACCCCCACGTAAGATAATGGTTTTATCACGTGATATTAATAAATTTTACTGCGCTATTTATGTTACATTTTTTATTAAGGGGTGATAAATTATTTTACGTAATCTATTTTTATATTAATGCCGTACTTCTATTTTTATACAAATATATACCCTTTTAATACATTTAAACGCGAAGAGGTTGCTGTTTTAATATAAAATTAAAGAATTTTCATATCTTGATTGCTGTTTTAATATAAATCATTAATGTTTAATATGTCTATAAAGAGAATTTTAATAATTTCGTGTCTTAATAAAAAGTTTTGCGAACTGCTGCTATAAACGCGTCTTAACTCTCAAATCCTAAAAGTTTTTAAAAATGAGCCGTCAAACCTACCTTTACAGCCCTAAATTTAATAAAAAATTAATTTTTAATTCACCAGATAATAAATATCAAGAATTTACCAATGCTTATGCATATAGTATTATGTTAAGGACGGGAAATAATACTCCAAATCGTGCTATTATTTGTAAAGACGCAGCAAAAGAATGGAGGAATATTAAAAATAAAAGTACTGCCGAAATTGATAATATAATTAAAGAATATATAACTACTCCAATTAATCCATACTTTATACCAACAATAAGAGCAAACTGCTCTAATCCTAGAGTAGAACCAACTCCCCCACCTATTATTGATCCAATTGAACCTGTTCTGGAAGTTCCTAAGAATGCATCGGCTCAAAAAAAGATAGCAGACGCAATTCAAATAGCCAAAAATAAACTTGCTGAATTAAATCAAATTTACAATATCACAACGGACTTTCAGATTAAAAATGATATACATTCAAAAATTGCAGAAGCCGAATCTGAAATTAGCGTAAATAAGGATAAAATTAGCAAGTTAAAACGAAATGCAATATACGCACAGAATTGCAGAGCAAAGAAACTTAAAATGCTTACTGAAAATCAAGAAGTAGTTCGATATGATCATCCCGGACGACCATCACTACTTTTTGAATATCCAGATTTACACAACCAGATTCATGACTCAATTGAATTTGGATCAGCTGATTCAAAAAGAAGAAAACAAGTTGTTAAAGTGAGGATCATTGAACATTTACGCAAAAATCTTGAAGAAAATTACAACGTATATATGGCGAGAACAACACTAAACAATTATGTCTTACCTAAACAATCTAACTCAATTGCTGCAAAGGCTCATCATCATCCAGCATGGGTTGCAGTAGCTGGAGTTTCACGTACAGATACTCAAGAACATATTGACGGACATTATTGTCTTGCATCCGTTAAATATGCAAAACAATTTGCTTCAATGTTTGCTGATATGTCCACTATTATTTCCCAAGATGATAAAGCGAAAATAGGTCTTGGAGTGCCTGCAGTAAGTCGAACATTTCGCACCTTACAGTCAATAAATGAGCCTGTATCTGTAGCCGATCATGATTTTCCTACAGGAAGCAGGCAAAAATTGATTCCTTCAGTATATTTAATTATGAAACCAGAAGAATCAAAAGATGAGCTTCGAACAGGACAACTTGCAATTTTTGTACGCCCCCAATGGTCCGTTGGTACATCCTCACTCACACATATGCAAGATCTGGAAAGCCTCACCTTGGATTCCAAATATGATGATATGCTAAAAACTAGCAATGGACAAATTCGGCCTATTTGGATGTTACTAGTAGATGGAGGACCAGACGAAAATCCTAGACATTTAAAAAATATAAAGGTATATTGTCAGCTTTTTAAAAAGTTCGATTTAGATTACTTAAGTGTACGAACCCATGCTCCGGGACAATCCAAATATAATCCTGTTGAAAGAGGTATGGCAACATTGTCTGGGAAACTTGCTGGAATTATGTTACCAATTGATCATTTTGGTAAACATTTGAATTCACAAGGAGATGTTACGGATCCTGAATTGGCCGCTCAAAATTTTCAACATGCCGGAAAGGCTCTTTGTGATATTTGGAGTCGTAATTTAATTTTTGGGAAACGTGTTGATGCCCAATACATTGACACAATTGAGAATCCTTTTGAAGATTTGCAGTTTAAGAGTACTGAAAAAGAAAAAGATGACATATGCGCCGATATACGGATTTTGACAACAAAATTTGACCCCAAAAATGGTCGATCGTGTCACAAAAACACCTGATTTGTGATGTCACTAATTGTTACGTTAACCTCAAATGACCACTAGAAACCATCTAAAATCAACAAAACTAAGAGCAAAACCCATCTCTTTTCTCACAAACCCATCTGTTTTTTCAGGTGAGAAATACGCGTTACTGGAAATAAAATGTAATATTCTACTATTTACTGTTTTAATTTTTTTATTTTAAGTTCTAAAACAACGTGAATTATAGCAATATATGCCTTCAGCAACGCTTTCTCAATCTAATAACTCCACCTGCTCCACTTGCAAAAAAGAATTCAAGAACTCAAAGGGTTTAGCACGACACCAACAAAATGTACGAAAATATAATAAACGTCACCAAGAAATTGATGAACTACCAGTTAATACTGTTGTTGAATTTAAACAAATTTTAGTTGCAGAAATACACAAAAAGCTACCTTTAAACTTTAGGTCTATGGGGAAGAAATTATTTTCTATACCATGTCCTGAAAGCATTTTTTTTTCTATTTTTGCTGGTAATATCCATTATTATTCCAAAGCGAGGGGAATTTATAGATGTATATTTCGAGGTCATGACGCGTATCAAGTTTTAAGTAAAATTTTAAATTCTGACCAGTGGGGGAAAAGAATTTATTCACAACGTCAACAAACATATGTAGTATGTTTGGATCCAATTCCGTGGAATGTTCCTAATAATTTACAAGATCAGTCAAAAGAAATAGATCCTCTCGAACAGCTATTACAATCTACAACTAGAAAACAACATAAAACAATTAGAACTAGACGACCACGATTTTTACGTGGAGAAATTTTAATTGAATGGAAAAAAAAAATGTCAAAAGTTAATGGAACTGTAAACATGGCGGGATATATACATTTTAATTTTTACATTGCGCAATTACAAAATGTACAGTAGAAAAGAGTAAATATAGATTTTATTGTAAATCAAATCATAAAAATAATAGTAAAGAAAAAAATTAAATTAGCATATATAATTTTACTTAATACGAAGTTTTTTGATTTTTTTAGATTCGGGTAATGGGTTATATGTAAAATAAAGTGTACGATTTTCATATTCAATAATTTCTTGTATTGCAGATTTTCGTTTTAATGGGTTTCCTCCATTCTTAAGAGTTTTACGAAAGAAGGTTGAGACCTGGTTATGGTTTTTTTTTTCCACAGCAGAGCAGGAAAATGCTTTAAGCCCCCATCTTTTATGTTTCTCCAAAAGTTCCCATCCATGATACACTAACGCATGAATATAAGGAGTGACATGACTTGGTAAATATAAACCTTGTATAAAAGTTCTTGGATCATTAGGATCTCCTTGTGATGGTGTAAGAAATAAAGATAACCAATCAATCGCTTGAATCTTCAACTGTCCTGGATCAGTAGTATTATCTCGAATTGCACAATATATTTGATAAAATTGATCCCAAAGATTTCGAATTAATTGTGCTCGAGATGGTCTAAAGAGTAATTTTAAATTAAAGAATCTTAAAACTTTTTCTTTATCATCTCCCATAAGAGACGTGTATTCCCAATTATGAGATTCTTTGTTTTCCCAAAAACAGAAAGATACTTTCAATTGTTGCATTTCTTTCATGATTACTTCTCGTGTTAGATTATTAAACAAATCGCGCTCTTTAATTTCTGCTAGTACCAATTCCCATAATCGATCTGTAATTCGTAAGAAAACATGAAGTTCATCAAAAATTATGTGATTGATTGCAATCATATCTATAAGAGGAGGATGAATATGACCATTGACATCCTCATATCTTGTTGCAATTTGCTCCATATTTTTCTCAATACGCCAATCTTTGCTTAAGTCACCATGTTGATGTTTCGAGCATGAACACCAAGGACAAAAAAAATTAGATGTAGGACCATTTAATCCAAGACATATTGCTAAAAACTTCCAATCTGAACTAAAATACAACTCAAAGTTCCACAAAATTCCAGCTGCTTCCAATCCATTTTCCTTTAATGACCGTAATTCATTAAGAAAAGGATTTAATATAAATTCAAGTGTATTATAGTTCTCAGTCCCTGGGTATAATACCGTAGTATAGTGATAATCTGCATGATGGTGACGCTCCTTATGATTTAAAATCATAAAAGTTAACATAACGTGTTTGATTTTACGTCCCACGTTACGCCCATCACCAGAAATGCGTAAATGTATAGTCGTGTCTGATAATCTCAATACCTTCTTTTCTTTTAAATAAGGGATAATATAATTGAGGATATCTTTTATACTTCGGTAAATACCTATGCCCATTATATCAATAGCCTCTTGAGTAATTTCTGGATTTCTAAATTCTGATTCATCTGATCCCAAAGCTTCTTCTAATTTGTCCCTTCCATTCATATCAACTAGTGATATTTTGATTAATTGATTCATATTATCAGTGATCGCAATACGTTCATTAGAAACAGAGTTTTCGCGTGGTAAATTAGCCTCCACTGCTGCTAGTTCTCGATAAGATTCTCTGGATATTTGACCTTGATCAACTGCTTTTACCACAGAACGGAGTTTGTGGGTTTTATTAATTTCATTCTCAGGTCCATAGTTAACTTGAAAACAATCTTTTTTGTTAACAGAAAATTCAATATTGTTCAATATGACTTGATCAGATTGGTGATAAACCCCCTTGACATCATTTTTGATGTTAGATTGTATTTTTGTTGCAAGCTTTTTAGCGCGTTTTTCAAGTGTTGATGGGGTACAATTAATAGCTGGCTTAATTAAATTTCCTCTCTTCCTTGATTCACGTGCCTTTCGTACGCTATCTAATTGTAATCCAAATAATATAGGACCTGAAATCTTTGCTTTAGTTCCTGGCTTTAACGACTAAAGTAAATAGTTTAATTATATGAAGATTCATATAATAAATTATATAATCCAATTAGTAAATACTTACTCGTTCGTATTTAATTGCTGCATCAGTTGCAGATTTGGTTGAAGAAATGACATGTTGAAAATTAGAACCATATTTGATACGAAATTGAGGTATTGCATTAATATAGTCAATTTCACAACAAACAGTTCGTTTCTTAGCAGCTCGGCCCCAAGTTGTTTTTACAACATAACCATGTGGGATTTTGTACGTTTTTTTTTGGAATTTATTACTTTCATTACTGGTTTCCAGTATATTTTTCTTATTCAACACAATTCCATTAGGGTAAACCCCTTCTTTAATAATAATATAATTAAAACTACGTTTGGTAATTTTATTCATGCGTTCACGATATGTAATATTGTTGTCAAGTGGGTATGTGGAATCTTCTTCAATTTGAATCTTGTTTTCGACATTTTCTTGATCACTTGAGTCCTCAGCATTTGACGGCATTATTTCGTTGATAAAAATAAGATTAACATGGATAATCTTTAGTATAACAAGAAGTATGACATCATTTTGCAGAATTAAATCTTTTATTATTGTTTGTGTAACATATAGGATATTTCGCGTCTGTGCGCACGAAATATATTAATATCTGATATTTTAATATTAATTTGCCGTTAACGTCGATAATCACCACCTAGGTGGTACAACTCTCCATTCCGCAGATCGGCGGATATGAAGAATTAGAAAGGCAAGAAAAACAGAAACAAAAAAACGCACAAAATAAAGATAAAGACGAAGCAGACGAAATTACCTTTTCCGAGTGCTTTGTTCCATGGTCTTGGATCGAAAGACACTGCAATTTGTGCGCGTATTCGATCGATATTAAAAGATGCAAAGATACAAGTTGTTGTGGATCACCTAGAGCTGAAGCAGCTATGGAATTTCTTGAAACCTATAATGGTTTTTTACCACCTGTTACCGAAGCCAAAGACGGACACTTCACAAATCCTATACACATACTTCAGTATTGTGATCTTTTAAAAATTCCAGGATACGATGCTCATTGTCCAACCTTTAAAGAAAAGCATTCCCGTCTTTGCTGCTCTATTTGTAACAAGTACTTTCCTACTATTACCTTTTTAACGAAACACAAAAGAACAGTACATTCTACGGCTCGAAGACGGTCAAAAGGACGTTTTAATAAACAGACTACGCAAAAATTGAGGGCGTTCGATGATTTTTCTCTTTTGCAGCCACAGCCATCAAAACGTCTTATTCCGTATGTTGAAATTCCATTAAGAAGTTATTTGTCTGACGGAGAGTGACCAAATGGAATTTTATTAAGTAGATTCTTTTAGTATTCAAATAAAGTTGGTATCTGTTTTTGCATGAAATTTTCTTTTTTTTTTCGTATTACATGATCGACTTAGATATTGTTATAAAAAAGTCGTATTACATGATCGACTTCGATATTTATAAAAAAAAGTTGATTTTTTTCGTATTACATGATCGACTTAGATATTGTTATAAAAAAGTTGATTTTTTTTGTATTACATGATCGACTTCGATATTGTTATAAGAAAGTTGTGATTTTTTTTTGTATTAATACATGATCTAGTTTCGAAATTTTAACACCAAAACAATAACAACTTTATATATTAGTTATACAATTTGTAATTGATAAATAAATATGGAAAACTAGAAGAAAAACATATAAAAAATAATATAAATAATATTAATTGCTAAAAAAACTTGTCACGTGATTTTCAATACATATGTAACGTAAGATTTTAATAAGACCAGTCTTCAACCCCCTCACCCCCTAAAATATTACGTAATAAATGTCATGGCCCTTAAAGCCTATTTCCCTATTTTGCGAAAACGACAACTGTTTTATCTATCTCAGCTTGTTACTCCCCAAAGATCTCATTTAATTTCCTGGAAGGCTTACTATGACAATTTAGTTGGACAACGTAGCCCTGGCCGTATCCCTTTTTGGTACAAAGATATTCAACAAGTTACCACTGTTCCTGACTCCGCTAATCGTCTGCTGGATCATTTTGTTGTTGCACATACGAATGACTCTTCATTTTATGAATTGGCTTCCTGCCTATCCTCTCCTCCCACTACAAAAAATTGGATTATCACGTTAGACGATCATGGTTCTCCCATCTTTGGCAAACAACTCTTGGTCCAAGCAAGTCGTGGTACTTGTTCTATTGTTCACTGGATTTCTCCTGAATGTGAATCTTCGCCTGGTGATCTCATTAGACTTTCTCCTTGCCCTGGTTGCGCTGCTCATACTCCTTTGCCTCCTTCCAAAAAATGGAATGCTGATTTGACCCTTTGTACGCTTACGGTCTCTCTACAACATTCGCTTATTCTGCCCACTACCAATGAGCGAATTAGACGTACTACTTCTGAAGTGACTTCCCCTCTTAATTGGGCTGATATAGAAGATGGTGTCCGTCTTTATTATAGTAGATTGGATTTTGATTTTGATTCCCCTTCTACAGATACCGTCGTAGCTCCTGCTACTCCTGTCACTATTGAATCCTCAGCTGCTGCTGTTTTTGCAAATTTTCCGTTGGTCATGTCTCCGGACTTGCGTTACATCTTTTTCACTGATGGATCTCTTATCAATCTAGGCGCTCCTGATGTTTCTATGGGCTGGTCCTGGATGCAAATTGTTCCTGATGCAGGTTTTCCTAACTCTATTGCAACTTATGCTCATGGCCTTATTCGAGATAATCCTTCTTCTTCTCGAGCTGAAGCTGCCGCTATTTACGCAGTTTTAACCATCTCTCCTCGCGACTCAGAAGTCACTATTTATACTGACTCGCAAACTGCCATTGACGGCCTTCGAAGTTGTTCTTCCTATGTGTATTCGAATAGCCGCCTTTACTATAAAACAACCAATTTTGAACTTTGGGCTATCATTGAACGAACTATCCTTTCCAAGAATTTGACTGTTTTTCCCGTCAAAGTCAAAGCTCACTCTGGCAATTATTTAAACGATTTTGCTGATTCCTTGGCCAACACTGCTCATACTGCGTCATCCAGTATTTTGATTTCTGGCATAGACCTTGCTTCTGCCCATGATTTTGTCTTAATTTATGACAATGATGTCGTTTGTGAATCTAATCCGCGACACCTTTTCAAACAATATTATCAAACGCAGTTAATGCGCGATTTGTTAAATTTAACGCGATTTCATTTTACCTCTTTATTATCATCTAATACAGATTATATTGTCGACTGGGAACTCACTTGGTTCACTTTGAATTTCAAGCCTTCTCATGATGCATCTTTTACTCCTGAGCACGCTTCAAGACACCTAACCTTTAAATTCAAACTTTTCTTGGATGATTTGCCTACATTGGAAAAGCTTAAACGGACCCGACCAGACTTATACATGGATGAATTAACTTGCCGTTCTTGTATCGACCGCATGGAAGACCTGATGCACCTTTTTATGTGCAAAAGACGACGTCTACCTATGCAACAAATTCTCCAATCTTATCAAAATCATTTGATTTCCAAACTTCTGGAAGCGAGTAATTTGGTTGATACTGATCC